ACTCACCACAGACAAGTCAGAAGGGTACTGCGCAAACTGTTACAACATGGATTGTACTGCAAATTGGAAAAGTGTAGCTTCGACCAATCTCAGATAAACTTTCTTGGCTACGTTATTTCTGGAGACGGATTTAGGATGGACCCCATTAAACTCCAATCGATTTTAGATTGGCCATTGCCCAGGGGACTCAAGGCCATTCAGAGATTTATCGGATTTTCCAATTATTATAGGCGCTTCATTAAAGGTTACTCTTCTATTATTGCTCCTATTACTAATATGACTAGACAGGGGGCTGATACCAAGACTTGGTCCACAGAGGCTCTCTCTGCTTTCAAAACTCTCAAGGAACATTTTGCCTCAGCACCGATATTAGTTCATCCTGACACATCTTTGCCTTTTTTACTCGAGGTTGACGCCTCGGAGACAGGTATAGGCGCTATCTTGTCCCAAAGGCTAGGTTTGGATAAACCGTTACATCCTTGTGGTTTTTTTTTCCAAGAAATTATCTGGGCCTGAAAGTAGATATGACATTGGTGATAGGGAACTGTTAGCGGTCATTATGGCTTTAAAGGAATGGAGACATTTGTTGGAGGGGACATTATACCCGGTTACTATTTTGACTGATCACAAGAATTTGTCCTACATAGGGGAGGCCAAGCGCTTGTCCGCCAGGCAAGCTCGTTGGTCCTTGTTTCTGACACATTTCAATTACGTGCTCACTTATAGACCTGGTTCTAAGAACTCTAAGGCAGATGCATTGTCCCGTCAACATGAACCCTCTACGGTGTCTGAAGCAGCTTTGTCTTCTATCGTTCCTAAGTGTAATATTATTGCCAACACTTGTGTCAGGATACACTCGCCGTTGCTTGCTGAGATCAAGAAAGTACAACATCTAGCTCCCAAACCTGTTCCTGGGGATCGATACTTCGTTCCTCCTGAGCTCCAAGTGGAACTGCTGCATTGCTTTCATGACAGTAAAATTGCTGGGCACCCCGGCACACGCAAAACGTGTTCCCTGATTTCTAAAGATTTCTGGTGGCCTTCCCTTCGTAAGGATATAAGGGATTTCGTCAGGGCATGTGCTGTCTGTATGAAGACTAAGCAACCTCACGCGCTCCCTTGTGGACTTTTGCATCCCTTAGAAATTCCCGAGAGACCATGGTCGTGTTTGGCTATGGATTTCATTGTCGATTTGCCTGTTTCTAAAAAACATACTGTTATTCTCACGGTGATTGACAGGTTTACTAAAATGGCTCATTTCGTGCCCTTGCCTAAACTGCCCTCGTCTCCCGAATTAGCTGAGATATTCGCGAGGGAGATTTTTCGTCTACATGGTATTCCCTCTGAAATTGTTTCTGATAGAGGTTCCCAATTTGTTTCCCGCTTTTGGAAGTCTTTCTGTTCTCACTTAGGCATCAAGTTGAACTTCTCCTCTGCCTATCATCCCCAGTCCAACGGAGCTGCCGAACGCACCAACCAAAAGATTGAACAATATTTGCGTTGTTTTGTTTCTGAACACCAGGACGATTGGGTTGGTCTGATTCCTTGGGCAGAGTTTGCACACAACAATCTCGTTTGTGATTCTACTCGTTCTAGCCCCTTTTTCTTGAATTATGGCTTTCATCCTTCCATTCTTCCGTCGGTTTCCCCTTCCCAAGGGGTTCCGTCAGTTGATGTTCATGTCGCCAATCTGAGAAAGTTGTGGGATCAGACTCGACGAATTCTTCTTCAGAATTCCATGGTGTTCAAACGACACGCTGACAAACGGAGACGGGTGGCTCCGGTTTTTGCCCCGGGTGATAGGGTGTGGTTGAGTACCAGAAACATCCGCTTGAAGGTTCCTTCCATGAAATTTGCCCCTCGTTACATAGGCCCTTACAAGGTTCTGTGTCGGATTAACCCGGTTGCATATCGTCTTGCCCTTCCGCCTGCCCTGCGCATCCCTAACTCTTTTCATGTTTCTTTATTGAAGCCTTTGGTTTGCAACAGATTTTCCTCCCCTGAGTCCTCCCCTCTCGCTGTCCAGGTTGAGGGTCAGGAGGAATATGAAATCAAATCCATTCTCGATTCTCGTATTTCTCGGGGGAAGTTGCAATATCTTGTTGACTGGAAGGGGTATGGGCCTGAAGAAAGGTCTTGGGTGGTCCATGAAAATGTGCATGCCCCTCGTCTCCTCCGGGCATTTCATGCTCGTTTTCCGTCTCGCCCCGGTTCCTTCCGCCCGGTGGGCGTTTCTGAGAGGGGGGGTACTGTCAGGGTACCTTTGGTGTCTACCTCGGAGGAGGTTAGACACCTAGACGTCCATCCTCCCAGGGGGGCTGACTCACCCGATCCTTGCACTCCTCCCGGTCGTTTACACGCCGGCCGCGATAGCTCCGCCTCCTTTTATGACGCGGCGCTCAGTAGCCGACGTCATGACGGCAATCACGTTCCGACCCGTCAATCACGGCAACCAAGTGCCGAACAACCAATCAGGACCCGTTGGGGGCGGAGCCAACAGTTAAAGAGCCAAGGTATAAAAAAGGGTTCTGTGGAATGATTCATTGCCCTGTCGTGGTTCTAGCTAGTCTGGTCACTCAGTGCAATTACCTCTATTGTCTTTTGGTTCCTGACTCGGCTTGTATTTTGACCCTGCTTTCCTCTCTTGTCCTTTTGACTCGGCTTGTCTCTCGCTTACCTGATCTCTCGTTCCCTCGACCTCGGCTTGTCTCTGACTATTCTTTTGCTTTCTCCTTACGTTAGTCCGGCCATTCTAAGGTCCGGTATACGTACCTATCCCCTGTTTGTATTCTGCGTGTTGGATCCCTGTCACGATCCTGACAGTGTCCTAGGCTTCCTCAGTTCACCTTGCTGCCTCGCTCTATGCTACGCCCCTCTATCCTCTGAACCGAAGTGCTGAATTGCCGAAGTCCCTAAGTCCTAAATTGGCAAAGTCACAAATTTCGGAAGTGCCGAACCGAACCAGATGTTTTGCCCATGCACATCCCTACCAGAAAGGATCCACTCATGGGCACAGTCACCCCAACATAATGTCTCAGCCTCTTTCACACACACATAACACAACATGCTTTCCTACATGCACCTTTATTACATGCTCCACTACATACACTCTCACAACATACTCCACTACATACACTCTCACGACATGCTCCACTACATACACTCTCACAACATACTCCACTACATACACTCTCACGACATACTCCACTACATACACTCTCACAACATGCTCCACTACATACACTTGCACGCAAACACAACACAACATGCTCCACTACGCACACCACTCAGTCAACACACACACTCACATAACAGAACGAGGGCTCTTAGAGGGGACCCAAATATGGATTCCTGCCTAGGGCCGGGACAGCCTTAATCCAGATTTGTACTTGTCTCTATCTCTCTATCCTCTCCACAGACATGCCTGTCTCTCTCTCCCACATACCCGTGCACTTATCTTTTAGTATTTCCTTCACTTGCTTGTCTCTCATTCTAGCAGTTTAGGTTTGGAGGTTTGGAAATACAGTTTAGTTTACAGTGCTTGTCAGGTATCTGACAGGTATACTTATACCTGATCTTGGTAGCGTCACATGCTTTTTTTTTATTTTTGCCGTGGCATCATGTCAAGCTACCTAGAATTGTCATGGTGGCTTTGACATAATTTCTCTGCATGAGGATACATCACACATTCATCTATGCAGAGATGTATTTTCCCGTAGATCTTACAGCGCCTGTAGATAACAATCTATCAAGGTCCTCAAATGTTTTTCTTAGTCAGAGAGGTCTCATCTGCATGAGTGAAATTCACTTATTATATCCGCTAAATTCAAAGAAAAGCAATCAGATTCAGACAATGATTCTTTTAATCATGGCATAAAATTGAGAGCTTTAAACCACAGCTTTCAGTGATTAGTTTTTTTTCTGAACACTTTGCTGTGTCACACAGCAGGCAGTGTCAGGACTCTGTTTGTCAACCTGTAACATTATCTGTTAGAGTTTGTGTAAGCATGTTAGACAGTGTAACAGCATCAACAGGATCTGTAGGTGGCCCAATCACAGCTTGCAAACGCTTATTAATAATAGCAAGTGTGTTCCTCCAAACATTTCATATGAAAAAAAAAAAGAAAAAGTTGAACATGTTTTGTTTATTATTATTATTATTATTATTATTATTGGCATTTATATAGCACTAACAGATTTCGTAGCGCTTTACAATATTATGAGAGGGGGGATTTAACTATAAATAGGACAATTACAAGAAAACTTACAGGAACGATAGGTTGAAGAGGACCCTGCTCAAACGAGCTTGCAGTCTATAGGAGGTAGGGAAAAAACACAATAGGACAGAAAATCGCAATCAAATAAGGTGGGAGTGAAGCAGAGCTGGAGGAGAGAGTAGAGTGCTGCCCTTTAGGAGAGAGCAAGAGACAGGTATGTGAGGTAGAGGTTACTCTGGGAGGCCATAAACTTTCCTAAAGAGATGTGTTTTAAGGCACTTTTTAAATGATTGAAGACTAGAGGGAAGTCTGATGGTGAGAGGCAGGCTTTTCCATAGAAAGGGAGCTGCCCACGAGAAGTCCTGCAAGCGTGAGTTGTCCGTATGTGTGCGAGCAGCAGACAGGAGAAGGTCATGAGCAGAGCGTAGAGTCAGAGAAGGGGCATACCTATGGATCTGTGAAGAGATGTAGGAGAGGCTAGAATTGTTCAATGCTTTATAAGTAAGGATTAGTACTTTGAATTGACTCCTATAGGATACAGGAAGCCAATGTAAAAACTGACAGAGGGGAGAGGTGTGAGAGGACTAACTGGAGAGGAAAATCAGTCTTGCTGCAGCATTTATTACAGACTGTAGTGAGGCAATACGGCTTTTGGGAAAACCAATTAGGAGAAGGTTACAATAAGGGAAGCCAGACTGAAGAGGATCAAGGACAGAGTTGGAATTGAGGAAGTCAGTCAGACGGGTAAAGTCAAGTCTTTCTAGAAGCTTTTAAGAAAAAGGGAGCAGGGATATGGGGACAATAGTTAGAAGGGGAGAACGGTTAAAGAAATTATTTTTTCACAATGGGTACTACAGTAGCATGTTTAAGGGCACAGGGACAATGCCAGAAGAGAGAGAGCAGTTGAAGATGTGTGTTAAGGAAGGCACAAAACAAAGGGAGAGAGATCTGATAAGGTGAGATGCGACAGGATCAAGTGGGCAAGTGGTGGGGCGAGAGGAGAAGTGCAGCCACCTCTTGTTCAGTAGCTGGGATGAAAGTCTGAAGGGTACGAAAGGCATGATCTATGTCTGGTTGAGAGGGGAAATGTGGGGAGAATGCTTTCCTTAGTTGTTAAATCTTGTTGGTAAAGTAGCATGCAAAGCTATCAGCTGTATGATTAATTTGGGGGGTGGCCACGGCAGGGCAAAGAAGAGAGTTAAAGGTATCAAAGAGACATGAACATGTCTGTTCATCCACCCATTATAAAGCCCTGCGGAATTTGACGGCGCTCTATAAATATCATCATAATAATAATAATAATAATGAATTAATGAGAGAGGAAAAGTATGACTGTTTGGCGAGGGCAAGGGCTGCGCTGTATGAATGCAATATGAATCTATAATGGAGAAAGTCTTAAGTAATTGAAAGTAGTTTAGAGGCTACTGAGGTCAAGGGTGGGTTAATGGGAATGTTGAAGTCCCTGAGATTTAGGGATGGAATATTAGAGGAGAGGAAGTAGTGCAGCCAGGCAGCAAAGTGGTCAAGGAAGTTAAGAGGGGAAGCGGGGGGGGGAGGCGATAAATAACAGCAATGTTAGCAGAGATGGGTTTGAAAAGGTGAATCAAATTAATTTCAAATGATGAGAAAGAGAGGGGAGGGGTGTGGGTAGAGGTTTGAAGGAGGAGTGAGATGAGAGTAAAAACCCTACACCACCACCTTCACTGTCAGAGTGTCTTGGGTTGTGGGTAAGTTGAAGACCACCAAAGGATAAAGATGCAGGGGTAGCAGTGTCAGAGAGGGAGAGCCATGTTTCTGTTAAGGCTAGTAAATCTAGGGAATTAGAGATGAAAAGGTCATGGACAGCAGTGGATTTATTAATTTTGCAAACAGAGTGTACATTCCAGAGGGAAGTGTGGAAGGAGGATTTAAAGGAGGAGTAACATGAGATCGGTATGAGATTGGTGTGGTTCCTTGAGTTAGTGGGTTTGATGAGGTAGAACCAGGGTTTGGAGAGACATCACCAGCTGCTAGGAGCAGAAGGATAGAAAGGAAGAGACGGTGGGAGTAGGATTTGAAAGTTTTGTGCGAAGGTTTGTATTTAGAGGATTTAGAAAGAGTTGGTGGAGATAGGCTATAAAGGTGTAAGCAGAGTGCATGGGATGAATAGAGAGGGGAGGGAAGTAAAGTTGAAGCAATGAAGATGGTGTCAGCAGGGACAGGCAAGCAGAAGGATAGAGGGATTTTAGTGATGAGAGAAGTTAGAGTGAAAGTGAAAAGTGGAAGGGAAAACATTATTAAGAGAAAATGTGTTTTTGGGATGTGGCCTTGAGGTGCGACTATACTGGGTGATATTAGACAACTGAATTGCCTAATGATTAATATCATTGTGTACATCAATAGTTTTTAACAAGTGTCCGTGAACCCACCACAACATGTGCTACAAATACAGTAACTTCAGGACAGACTGTTCATTGCACACAGGCCATGATTACATCAGTTGCCTTATAATGAAACTTCCTGTAAGAATTACATTGGTTGTTTAGGGGATTTTGGGGTTAATCACAAGTCAGTCTTGCTCATCCTCCTCCTCTGCTCCCTGGAAGAACTGGTGGTTTGCTAGACAAGTCTGACACTGTGTCTTTCTTCCTCTGCGGCCTCGTTCCCAGACAGGAATTATTAGTCCAGGGGGCTTGTGACTCCTCAGAATGGCCAGCAACACAGCTGGAAACTTGCTTCATTTGTGGCACACGTGAAGGGGCTTGTTTAAAACCCATAGCACTATTCCTCTCCAGCTACTCCTAGAGAGAATGAGAAGTTTGTTAAAGGATCTCTCCAAGAACCATAACCACTTCAAGAACCATAGAAGTCTATTAAAGCAACGCTCTAAAAAAAATTGTTCTGAAATCTATAACTACTTATATAGGTGCAATCAGGAAACAAAAAATGAGGCCTGCATCATTAGTAGGAGGGCCAGAAGATTGTGGCCTCCTATCAGGTTTAGGTCAAGACATTTGAGGTCTACCTAAGAAGGAGGATATTGTATTTGATCCAGCTGTGGGGAGTCACCTGCAACTCTTAGATCTTGAGCACCATCTGCCTTACGCAGGAGATTGGCATTATCTGGGGATGCTGCTGCCAGATCTGTTGATGCTGGTGTGGTTAACAACAAAATGGCCACTACTTACTTCTGGCTTCACCCACAGAGTTCTTCAGAGTTAACATCATCACAACTTGGCTCCAGGGGTTTTAATAAGTGGAGCAATGTCTACAAGACTACAGTAAGCAGTGCTTCATCCAGACATTGTGGACCGGAGTCTAATTTCTTTTTTGACCTCTGACATCCAGGCTTCGCAATGATGCACTGTTTTTATAGTACTGTAACAAGTGAAAAGCACATCAATATATTATCTGATCCTTCGGAAACCAGCACAAAGCAATGTAGGGGGAACACTGTAAATAGTAATCACTTTTCACTGGAGGTAACACTAGAAGGACTTAGTGTCTCATATATTACAAATTAAAAAAAACAGGTCACTGTGATAATTTTACAATTGAAGAATTGGTGTCCAAGCAATTATTTTTATATGTATTGTTATCTGGTTTCCGAGTTAAACAGAAAACATTAAGAACCTGTGACACAACAAACCAACAAAGGTTTTGTGCCTACTCCATGTTTCTCAGAAAGACCACGTGACATAGAGAATGAAGAACTGAATTCACTTTATCGGGAGCTTCAAAGGTTTTTTCAATGACTAAAATCACTAATTAGGACCACTCTATTATGGAATCTTGGCAAGTTAAACAATCTATTGAGGTTGGAGTATTGTCTCTTCTTCCCCATGCTGTTTCTTGCACAATATTAGTAATTCATTAAACAGAAAGAAAAACTGTCAAATTAAATTAACCACTCACAACCAAGTACAAATACACATAAAATATTATATTAAACATCAAGTCAATGATTAGGTGCACAGGAAAATAATCTTAAAGATGTATAAAAAACAGATGGGACACAATATTATTTTTTGTTGTTGTTAGCTAAGGTTATGGAGATTGGGTACCTTCTTTCTGGGTCATCCCAACTGCTCTCATAAAGCATATATAGTATCATACGTCACATCCAGTAATCATCATTTTCAGTACATGGTAAGAATAACAAATAAGCATAAAGAACAAAGGCATTCATATCAAATTTTCAAATCTGTAAGCCTGTCCTACATTTATAAACTATTTTATTCAACTTGTATTTTTAATCTTACATAGAACTGACAATTTACAATAGATTATGTCCGGATTTGCTGTCTGGATGACGTGTTTTGATAAATAGACCCAAGTAAATCCAGTTGAAACAATGAGATTATTATCTGCTTGTCAGTGGTTTTCCTTGGAATCAGCTGTAATTTTTAACTGTATCTGACATCGGACGCAAGACCCACTAGGGCAGGGGCGTTCTTTTTAAAGATTCTCTCTGATATCATTAATTGCAACCACCTTGATTCGTTTAAATGATATTAATGCACTAAATAAAAGAGTTGCTTAACAGCAGTTTTGCAGTCATTTTTTTTTTTTTACAGATTTTAACTTACGTAAAGAGAAATGAAAATTAACGGGATCTGTCGGTGAGACACAAGTAATCAACTCCACGCTTGATTTCAGAATATTATTTATTGGCATTACAGAAAAACGAGTTATTATCGGAGAGACTGGCAAAACGAGTCTTGCATACTTTTATACATAAGTGAACACTCACAACTAAAAATAATTTGTCTTTCTACCATGATTGCTGGGCTGCATGCAAAGTCAGACCCCATTACGGTTATTTAGAGTTTTTTTATTGATAGGAACACCTGTGGCCGGGGTAGATCTGGGGTGGGGAGCACCAGCACAAATGCCGCACTCCCGAGATAGTACCAGTGGGTACCCAGAAAATACCCATATTATTTACCATAATATTTATATTTTCCTCAGCCTACCTCACTTTAGTAGAGCAGCCAAAAGACTTTGAATTTACAGTTCTGAGAGTGATCATACTCTCTCAGTAACGCTTTACTAGGGCACCAGCTGCTGGGAGCTCTGGTAGAGTGGGGTTATGACTAGGCTTACCATATCATCATGTTTTCATAGACACATATAATTTTGTCATATTTCTAAAAAAGCACGAGAAGGGTTTCCCTGCATTACGTATAATGCATATTCCGCAGGATTTTTCATTGTCTAATTGCTTAATCTTATACACCTTCTTCTGAAGGGCAACTCTTTTCTTGTGCTACCCATCATTATGTATACATGATATGTGTCCCTGAAAACATGGTGGATATGGTAACCCTAGATATGACTTTAACAGCCGGTGCCCCAATGATGTGTCCTGAGTGAGCATGACAACTCTCAGAACTGTTCTTTCAATGCCGCTTGGCCTTCCTACTAAGGCAAGGTAGGGGAGGTAAATATGAATAGTTTAATATATACTTTCTTGGTACCTGTGGGTGCTAGGTCCAGGTCAGTGTCCCTCCTGAATCTGGGTCCTGGATGTATCACTGACCTGCGATCGTTAGAGAGAATCAATATACAGGATTCTGAAGTATGGGGCAGTCTCATATGCTGGATACAAATTTGAAACTTCTAAGCTTACTAATATTGAAATTTAAGTACATATAAAATTGGAATAATTTTATTATAAGTAGATTAGTATGGAATCATTCTGTTAGATACTTTGACAGACTAGCAACAAAATACAAGAAAGAGCAAAGCAAAAAAATAATAATTCTGAAGTCTGTGTAAAAAATCAAAGTACCCTTCAAGGAACTCACAGCCTCAAACAGAGCAGTCTCTCCTATTATCCATCTCTTCATGCTACCATTGGCTAGTATAATGTTACAAATGGTTAAAGGGACACTATACAAATACTATACTAATGAGTAAAGGGACACCAAAACAAGTTAAGCTCAATGAAGCAGTTTTGGTGTATAGATTAAGCCCCTGTAGTCTCACTGTTCAATTATCTGCCGTTTAAGAGTTAAATCACTTTATTTATGTAGCCCTAGTTACACCTCCCTGCATGTGATTTGCACAGCCTTTCTAAACACTTCCTGTAAATTCA